TCTTTCAAAAATAGACCAAAGAATGTTTTATACTTGTAAAAAACTTTTTAAAATATGCCTTCTATAAAAGAAGAAAATAAGTTAAAAGTTATATTTATTTCCTAATAAATATTTTTTTTAATATATAACAAAACAATGTCTTATACGTTACACGTAATTTACGTAAAACAATGTGATATATACGTTAACCAAAGTCATATATGTTACTTCATACTACCTTCTTTTCATTAACACATGTGGTGTCCAACTGTCTGTACTGTTCCATGTTAAAAAATCTGTTTATCAAAATATATCTGCCGTTTATTTTTTGAGCATTTGTTTAATAAAGCAAAATATTTCATAGAAAGAGAGAATTTGCGGACTAATAATTTAAATTTTATAATGAAATATTATTTTTTGGTGTAAATCTACGTGAGATGGAATCGGACAATTTGTATTTGTTTTTGTATTGAGTATATTAGTGCTAACAAAATAAGCTTTCAACGATGCAAATTTTTCGCTGTTAAAAGTAGCCTTCCGAATTGAGCGCTTGAATACATCGCACTACGCGCCATATGTTTCGTATACATACTTTTTTCAATTTATTGTGTTAAAATGAGTTATATCAAAAAAATAAGTATTTGCGAAGTGCAATAGTGTGCCACCATCCATCTATATATAATTCTTATATATTTTTTGCTAGTTTTATTCAATTCATAAATTCCAGATATAACGTCTGAGAGAGAGTAATTTTTCTTGTATTTAGTAGTTACAATACATTAATATTCATAGCGGCAATACTGTAGAGTGACTTTTGAGCATAGCATGTGATAGATAGCATACTGTAAGCAATATATTATTGTTGAAAATAGACCAAGCACAATTAAGAAGAGAGGTACCATTTGGTATATTATATGTTTGTGTTCCTTGTACAGAACGTATCTGAAAATCAGCAAATGCTTGAATTGCAAGGATAAAATTTTACAATTTATTATTTGCAAAAATCTTTTCAATTTGTAAAAATATAAATTTAGAAAATAAGTAAATTCTATTAAAAATTCTTGAAAAACTTTTCAAATAACAAAATGTGGAAAAAAAATTAACGACGCAGAATCAATTGTAAAGTAATCGTTTCAAAGACCATACCATCACAACACGACACTCATTAAATAACAGACTACTTTTTTACATTACGTAAAGCGCAATTTGAATAAAGAATTTTAGAATGCACGTTTCAGAATTTTCTAAATACTATTTTATATTGAACATTAAATTATACATTTAATTGTAAATACTTTGCATTACTTTATTGGCATTTTTCTTCTTGAGAGAAAAAAGTAATTAAGAGAGGAGATAAGTAATTGTATGCAAATTAGTTTCTGCTTTTTAGTGAATCTTTGCGTGAACTCTAAATGAGTATTTTCAGATTTAGACAAAGACTCAGTGATTCTTTGTGAACTTTTTGGTAAGCTAAGCAATTTAAAATAATTGCCATTTTTTGGTTTTTTTGTTTTGTTATGTAAATGAATATTCATTTCTTTAACATTCTCAGTGGCATGAAGATTTAGTAGCATTTTTTGCACTGAAGAAATTGACGAAAAGATTTATTCAAAAATTATGAAAGTTTGTACAAAAACTTTATAAGATTACCTTGTTCAAGTACTATTTTGGCTTCAGAATTATTGTTCTTTTTTTTAAATTTTTCAAGTTCATCGGCTTCATCGGTCATCATGAAATAAATAGATAGTAAGTAGTAATTTTTGCCACCACATGTCTCTCACATTATTCTGCTCAAGTTGTTCAGCGAAACTGCGCAGAGTTTTTTAATTAAAAGTTTGAAATAAAGGCTATACTGGACTGGTTTTTCTATTCTCATTTATGCATTTCTTTTTTTTTTTGCAAACATTTTAAGTTTAATTTAAGTAAATGATAGGTTTATTTCAGTACTAAACTTTAATTATTGTCAAATAGTAATTACAATATTTTGGTGGAACAAACTTTGCTACCAAATTTATGACCTTAAAATTCATTCCTTATGACAAATACTTTAACAATTTTATTAGTCATTAGCTTGAAATTGAGTAGGCAGCAAAAAATTTCAACTTTCCTTTCCCTCTTGTCACTATTTGACTTGCAAGCCAAACATCAAAGTGATTCATTTTTGATTTCAAACTTACTCATTTTAGAATATTTTCTTCATCTGTATTACTCAGTTCTGATTTTCTAAACAAATGATCGGACAATAATTTACAGAAAATGAATATCGTAATTTATTGTAATAAATGTGCAGATATTTTCTTGAAGAGAGACAAGTTTTGCAGTATGTTAATGAGCAATCAGACAGTTTTTACTAATTGCACCGTCTTGTGTTTAACTTTCTCACAAATGCATAAGTAAGAAAATGAAGTTTACAACAAGTCATAAATTCCATTTTTCATACGTGTAAAAATGGAAAAGTGCCACAGACATGTCAACAAATTTGTTACTTGAAAATCGAGTTTTTAGATTTATTTATGTATTCATCTCTTATCAACTTTTCCACGATTTAAGTGATATAACGAGTTTCATCTTAAGCTTCGACATTATAAGACTAATTTCATTTGACATTTTATTCAAATGTAATTATTACTTTTGACTCAAATTATACAAGAATTGTGATAAAGCAATGAGCCATCTTTTCAAGTTTATTTTAATATGTAAACATAATTATTAAATGAGTTGTATTAATTATATGGCTATAATTAGTAGTAATTACTGCTCAAGTAAAATCATATAGTCAATTTAATATTAAAAATAAAGTTAGACATCATTAGGTATTTTTTGGAGTATAAAAAATGTCATAAATACTAAAATGTACATTATAAATAATGGCTTTTATTAACAATATACCTCATGGTTGTCACAAATGCTATGCTAATTTTTAAATTATTATTATAAAGCAGAATTTATAATAAATTTATTTTTGTGATCACTCACTGATTACGTACTGTATGAATGAAAAATATAGATATTTGGTATTTGTAAAATTTTTCATTTATATTTTAAATACTGCAATAAACGAACAAAGTGAAGTTATAGATATGTGGCAAAAGTTAAAGTTTGCAGAAAATAAAATCAAAGCAATTATTATTCATATTTAAATGATATAATCTTTGTAGATTATTGCACAGATCAGACTTTCCACCATATCACTATGCTTAAGGCAGTTATTCGCTTCTATAATTATTTTTCATTTCGTCCTTATCAGTTTATCATTGCTTTCATTCTCTCCGATGTCATTACAAGTAGAAAAAACATTTTTTTAAAAATAATATTTATCAGTTGTTAGCTGCATCATCTTTTACAAATATTTTGTTATAAATTGTTGCAAGTAGTGCTGTAGCATTCTATGAGAGAGTAAATATGATAGATTAGATCAGATCGGATCAGATCAGATCAGATCAAATGTTAAGGTGTTTCGATGACAATACTATAGTAATCCTTTTCTGAACATTGTCATGTAGCACTAAATCACGCATACATAAATGTTTGGTAATAATATATGAATGTGATCAGATAGAAATATATTAGAAGTGAAAAATCAAGAAAAGTATTGAAGAATAGTGAAGCATAATAAGTGATAATAGATGTTATGAATATTAGAACGATAAAAGCAAAGATTGCTAAATATAGAAATCATTGAATTTTGTTTTTTTTTGCTTCAAAAATATTAATTATACTTTAAAATTAGTAAAAATTGCAGCACTAAGTGGCATACATTTAAGAGTGAGTTTGTATTATATGACAGTTAGTATTTGATTCTCAAGCATTGTTTGACACCTAAAAATTTTCTACTCACTAATTTTCTTGAATTTAAATCTCTTAGCATTCATTTCCATTGTATTTGTGCACCAAATGTGTCCTTTGTCCCACCTAACGGTTTGCTTTCATATTATGAACTTCCACTTTTTCTGATGCGATTATTCAAAGTCAACTTTGGATAACTTTTTGATATATATCTGATTTTTTGCACACCTTGGATATATATTATATTTTAGAATGGGCGAGGGCCTGCAAATAGGCCTACTCGCTGGCGCGTTGATTCTCGTTTATACGATTCAAGGTCTGTTTATAATGAATGAATGAAGGAAAATTGGCATTTACTTGTAATATGCACCAAAATTTGACATCTCATTTCAGTTTCTAATATTTTGCAGTGGATACACTTTCATGAATCCTTTCTGCAAGCATCTTTGAGTGTTAACTTATGAGCTTCTTATACTATTGTACTTCAAAATAGGCGATTTTTCTTGCAGAATTTATTTTGCTTAAATTAGTTTTCAAGTGACAATATTTCAACTTTTGCAACTAAAAACATAATTATGTAATTAATAGACACAATGTTAAAAGTGTGTAAAATTAATTAAAAAATAAAATACTTATGTATGAAAAAAAAAGTTGAATAGGATATTAAACTGGTATTGATTTATGAAGTGAAAGGAAATAATCGAAAAATTCTAAATTTTTTCAAAGACTTAGTGAAAATTACTTTAAGGACACCACGCTCAGATTCGAGTACGTCGCGAAACTGGCGGATCGCAGAGTTTACTCACTGTTGAATGGGAAGGTATTCAGACCGGCGATCACCCCGATGATAGTGTTGGAGGATTCGCGGTAGAATATCGGGCGGAAAAAGACACACAATGGCATGTTCATGATGGAATAATACCTTATAAAGGACCTAATTTACAATACAGAGTACAGGTAAACTTGGTGCATATATTTTACCTTACTTGAAATATTTTGATAAAGTGAAAGTATCAAGGAAATTGAAAAGTTTTTAGATTTAAGCTTTGTAAAGTTTTTTAACCCAAACAAGATATTAGAAGATAAAAATTCGTGAAATCAGGATGTCAACAAAATTAGGCAAAATTTAGATTCCGCGTTTACCAACCGGAATAGCTTACTTTGTTAGAATCAAAGTGCTGGGTAAAAATGGAAAAATTCTAGTAGAAACACCAGAAATACGTGCCCGAAACGAGATGGTTAGCATCAAATGCGAATCAGGCTTGTTTTTAAGAAGCATTTACGATAATTTCCATTGTTGTTTTTCTTTGTTTTTAGTTTCTTGTGACGATGTTTAAACATTTTTGGATATATTGCGACTAAAACTTTGTTTTTATTTTTCCCTCAACAGTTTTTCTTTTTTTGAATTTATTAGCTGAATGAATTCGTTAACTTACAATAATAAACTGTAATGAGTCAGTTAAGGCAATCTATATTCTGTGACACATATCAATCGAGTAAATAGACTAAGCTACGTGAATTACTAATTCAAAATAAGACGAATAATATTCCTGATCGAATTTCAAAGTTTTGCATATGGTAATTGTACCGAAGTTACACTTTTTACAGATGATCTGACCTCTCCACGAAATCTTGAAGTAACACAAGCAGGTCTATACAGCATTGCCATGTCCTGGGAACCTCCAGAATGTGGATCAGTTGGGGAATATCACATTGAGGTTTGCTTTCTTCTTTTTCTAGACCACTGATAGCTGTTGTATATTAACTTTAAAAAAGTTGCCGAAAAAATGCATGCAACTTTCATCAATTTATTTCTCAAAAATTTTCAAACTTTCAGTTTTTAAATACTTTGTGGATAAATTATTTCGCAGTTCAAAAAATTCTAATCTTATACTTACGATGTTCAGTTTAGAAAATTAGTAAAAATCATTAATAAAATGTGAATAATTCTTTTAAGCTTGCTGGTATTGATGCTAAATTTGATGTTCATCGACAATCTGTAATACATCCATCAGTTAGTATCACAGGCCTTCTACCAGGAACTGAATATCAAATACGTGTTCGTGCAGCTGATCGATCACGTACTTTAGGTCCATGGAATGACTTTCTGCTCGTTGCAAAAACAGAAGGAGAACGTAAATGAATTATTCACATAATTTGAATTAGTCACTGATGCAATATTTTTATGCAAATATTTTTTGTTTCTGAAAGCAGAAATATAAAGTATTACTCATTGTAATTTTATCAAAATAAGACGAAGTCATGTTATCCAGTATTAATGAGTGTTTTCAGCTCTTGATGAATCGCATGAAATAGAAATTGACTATCGGACAGATACTGAAGTACGCATTAGCTGGCAACCATACGAGGATGAGAGATTACAGCATTATGAGGTACAGTACTGGAAATCAAATATTAATTCCATTACAGATAACATTGTCTTTAATCACGATATTTCTATCAACTTAAATGTGTTAATTCTTTGAAATTTCAAATTATTTGAACAAAATCATGTTTACTTTTGATGTACTTTTTCTAAACTAATATTTGCTCACAAAAAAATAAATTTAAAAAATTATTAGTATGTTTTCAAAATTGTTTATGAGGTTTTCGATGTTATAATATTGCTTGACATGAGGAAAAGGCAGTGTGATATAAGTAGATAACAATATTAACATAAAAGCAATCAGTCACTGAATCAAAGTTGAGTGAATAATTTCAGGTGATGGCAACTGAAGTAGACGATGGTGAAAGTCAAATGGTAATTCGAGGACGTGTAAATCCTTTGGCTAGCAGTCACGTTTTCTCAGGATTACAAAGAAATACGCAATATGAAATAGGAGTAGTAGTGTTTATTGACCATGAACCCAAGTTAGTCTACAAATTGTTAGCAAAGACTGCTTCAAGTTCGGGTGTAACCTGGAAGGACAAGCCAAGTATTGCTGCTGAAAATGCTCATCAGTTCTCTGTTCAGTGGAAAAAACCAGAACTACCAAATGTTGGAAATATTTCCAAATTTGTGATCGAATATCGTTTACCAAACGAAACACAGTTCGTTTTTCATACACAAATTTTTTACTTATACCTTTGCTAATATGCAAATTAATAATGATTATTGAATTTTCTTGGAATTTATTTTCAACATATAGAATAGTTGAATCTGTACATTTTTAACATATATTGTAATGAATGTTTATCCAAAATATGCCTAATCAATTTATGTTTTAATTCAAAAAATACAGATGGCGTAAATATGATGATTTGCTTGTGGAAGAGGCAAACAATGATTACCATATATTATTTGATGGGATTCACGCTAGCGCATTTTATTCATTTCGGATTCTAGCAATTGATGATCAACTCAAACTAGCAGCTAAAACTGCTGAAGTTTGCTTACTTTTTCATAACCTTTATATCCCAAAGATTCCGCTTGAATATTGACATTTTCTAAATGATTATTAGTTCGAAGTATATATTTCAAAATAGACAATGCAAGGGAAACTTCAAAAAACATATTTTTTTATTGTCCATTTTCTTAGATTACTCTTGGTTCCGCAGCATCTGAATCTTGTGCTAGTGATGCTGGCATTCCACAAAATGTACGAGCAAGTTTTATATCTCATGATACCATCCAATTCAAATGGGAAAAGCCCCAGTGTGATCAGTCTTATGGAGCTATCAGTGGTTACGAATATTTGGTTCGATTCTTCTAGTTTTTAGTGCTTTTGATAATAGACTTACCAAAAGTTCTTAATAATAATATCAATGTTTCTACAAAGCAAATCAGTTCGTAAAATTAAGTGCACAAGCCAAATATATCTGATTTCTACTTTTTCGGAATGGATTCAAAAAACGAAAATTACTTGTTGGAAATAACTGTCATTATCAATAGCCTAGGACTTGGAAAATGAACAATTTTTACAGTTTTGGAATGAAGAAACAGATGTCCAGCCCGAAAAAATATTTCACGCTGAACGTAATATGATCAAATTAAATGAATTGGATTCAGGTACACGTTACTCATTCCGAGTTCGTTCTCGTGCAGGTCACGGACATAGTTCATGGAGTGAAACTGTGAGTACTGAAACAGAAGCAGATATCAGATCTCAAGGTAAATTTGCGATAAAAACACTGCTTTTTTAAATAATACACAAATTTTATTGGTATATCAAGTAAGGATACTTTTTATCGTTTTCAGTTTTATTAGACGTAAACTTTGAATTATATTTAAAATATTGAACATTAAGAAGTAAATGTTTGATGGCTATTAGAAAGTGATATCAATAAATTAGAAAGTTAATAATTGGAATGAGTAATTAGTTCAAAGGTGAAGATAAATACAGTTCATTTTTCACCTATGAACTAAATATCAATATCCCTCTTAACATTTTATTATTTTTGGATATTGATGCAAAGTAAGTGAATTTTCATTTATAAATGTTTTTATTTACACTAAATTTTGTATTTTTTAATTTTTCAAAGTTACGTTTCTATTTTAACTTGCGTTATTTGCGTATAATTTAATGCACACACCAACTAATACTATTTATACGTCAAAACGCTTCACATAGCGGTATTTTCACATGCATTGAGAGCAGATATGACTTGATTTCCTTCACTCTACTGCTATCTCACCATTAGTATGTGCAATCTCTGGATTAAATACAAACTTTTCAACTTTTCAAAACTTTTAGTGCTTTTATCGGTTTCTGTTTTTGGAGTAATACTTGAAGAACACTAAATTACTTAAGCGAAACATTGGTTTGTTCCATAGTTTTGCTGTGGGAATTCTTTCTGTTTACCTAATTTTTCGCTCCACAAATAGGTAGAGAACAATAAATATTCTATCCATCATTTCAATAAGCTCATTTTGCAAAGTATTTCAAGTTTATTACAAGTAAGAGTTGTATTTAAAAAGATGCTACTGGTAATAACAAAATAAGAGGATCAGATTAACCAGTGCAGTAGCATTTTATTTGAAATCATATCACTGCTACATGGATGTGAGTGATTATTATGAGCACTTCAAATAATCAAATGATTTAGCAATTTCAGTTCAGATTATAACATTCAAGTTAAAACACACAGTGATGTTTATCTGCTCGCAAATAATGTCTGTGTTTGCATTTGGGAATTATTTTTCGTTCTTCAAACGTTTGTCAAATGCTTTTTATTAATAATTTGTTGTCGTATACTAACATTTAGCAGTTATCATCAAAAACGGATTCATCAGTAATGCTTTTAAACTTCACAAAGCTCCAGTGCTACAGTCAACATCAAGCACTTTTGCCACATTTCTACGACGCTTTAAACGCCAGCACAAACATCAAATTACAGGTAATTAAAGGTAAATCATACAGTTTGGGTGGTGTTTTATTTCAGAGGGTGCAAAAAATATAGAAGCTAAAGCTTTGTTTAATTTAAGCGGAAAATGGTGTATTTTGAAAAGTATTAAGATGGTAAAATTTGAAATTTACATTATAATTTGTTTGAAGTAAAAAATATTTCTACTGAAAAAAACACGATTATAACGAGAAGTAATGTTATGCTTTATTAATATCAAGAGCTTACTGCTGGGTGAAGTGTCACCGAGCGATTTCAAGCATTTCTAAAGATAGCGTTTGTTGATTAACTATTTGGTGGTGGTAATTAACACTTCAAGCATTTATAGTCCACTTAATTAATTATATGTGATTACTATGTCCTTAAAAGTATTTGACATCAAAATTTCTGCAAAATGTTTTGTTAAGTTCAACAATCGTTTATTTGTTTTGTTATTCCGAATTCATTTAGAACTGATAAAAGATTCCATGAATCTTCATTATGTATACAATATTTGACAGATTGGTGTAATAAGTAAAAATATGTATTTTATACTAATGAATGCAATAGGTAGATAATGTCATTACCATTCATTCTAATTTATTTTGTTCTAGGGTATTCATGAAAAACATCAATTGTAGGTTTTTTTCAGATAATCATAACATTTACCAGTTGCGCATAATTTTGGCACCACCATTGTCATATCTGGCGTGGACGCCTCTGCCTGAGCATAGCGATGACATCGTAAAATTCAAGTGAATCAGATCATACTTTAATTTGTTATTCTTTAATTCTATCTTGAATTGTTTACTTCATTTTAAATCAGTTAAGAGTTGAAAATTTTCCGCACTCGAACATTGTAGACTATCGTATAAAAAAAGTGCGAGTGACCAATGGACTCGTGTAATTGAAAAACCGCAATATTTCAAATGTCCTGATGGAATCGCTGATGCTGAAGACTTCTGCTTCGACTTGTCTAAGCTTTCATTCGGTGTACAATACACTGCTGATGTAACTTTTACTTCTACTTGTAATTAATTATGCTAAAAGCAACGATATTCATTCAGTTTTTCACTTATAAACAGAAAACTTCTAAAAGTACTTTGCAGTTGGTGTATGAACTAAAAAATGGAGAGTGGACTGCGCATGGTAGCCCGTTATTCTTCATTCTCGTGGATGCTGGTATTATTACTTAGTACTAACTTTTTAATTTTTTCATTCAAAAAGTTAATTTATACTCACATGCACACACGTACACGTCAACACACCGCGCACACACACATACGCCAGTTTCATTCCAATGCTCAATTTTTCTTTATTTTTCTAAAAAAAAATGCATGTATTTCTTCCCTTGCTTTTTTTAATAGTTATTTTTTTTCTTTTTTTAGAAAAAACAAATCTTTAGAAATTTATTTAAAAATATTGCACTGATTTTGATACATACGACTACAGCAAGTAATACATGGACACGTAGTGCTTACGTAAAAGTTCGCTGTCATTCCGAACATATCATTTCCAGGAGAACCACCAGCGTTAAAAGCACCTGAAGATTTGAAAATTATTCCACGTGATACTTCAAGTGTTGAGCTGCGTTGGTTGCCACCAATGAGCTCAAGACATATTTCTCTTTATCAGGCAGCAATTTTTTTTGCAAGCACAAAATGCTTTTTTCTTCAGCTTCTATTTTCCCCTTTTTTGCATGCTTTTATCCATTGCACTTCTGAGGGAATTCATTCATTAGTCGTTTATTTCAAAAATTAGGAAATTATGAATGAAAATATAGTTTACAGATGGATTTATATATTAAGGTCTGTTTACAGTAATGAATGAATAAGCTTAAATTCAGATTGAAATAGAAGATTTGCATGCACAACACGTGCGAACAGAGCAAGTACCAAGCGCATTTTTCACTTACGTCATCAAGCATTTAACTCCAGAAACCGTTTACAACATTTCTCTTCGAGCAAAAACTGATAAAGGCAAATTGGGCAAAGCTGCTTTCCAGATTATTTCTTTAAAAGGTGAATCTTCTACAATAAGCGATTTACTATCACTTGAAAAAAAAGAATCAGAAAGTATAATAAAGCTTTCGGAAGACAAACAACAAAAAACTTTGCTATACGAGAAGACACGTGAAAATGAAGGAGAGAAAATCAAAAAAGAAGATTGCCAACAAAGAAAAATGGATGATAAAAGTCAACAACATCAAATCATACTTGATGAACGTGAATGTGCTCTAAATTATCAAGAAAAGCATTACGAACGTGAACGAGAAAGAATGGAAGAGGAAAGAGAACGTGCTAAGCAAGAACATGAACGTGCACGAGAGGCATGGGAACGTGAACGAGTAAGAATAGAAAAGGAACGTGAACGAGTCCATAGAGAACGTGAGCAACTTAAACAGCAATATCTTGAATGGGAAAAACAACATAAGCAGCAAGCAACTACTGCTCAAGTAGAAAAACGTGAACAAATTCAAATAACGACGGGATCGAATGATGATAAGAGAGGTGAGAAGTGACAACAAAAATGAGCTTATAAACATAAGCAGTCTTGTATTTATGCACGTTATTTATGTTTGATTTGTTTCTAATTCAAGTTATTTTATAATTTCATAGATAAAGTATTCTTCTATATCATTTCTAGAATTTAGACACTTATCACGTGTAAGAATACCATTCACGTGATGCAGTTAAATCGATACTAGAATTTATACTGGCAGTTTTTCAGCACCTGCATGTAAACGCACATGATTTTTTAAATTATCCTCCTGGAGTTGCATAATTTTCATTCTGCATGCTAAATTTTGCACAAATTTCATATGCTTCATTTTTTTAGCACATTATAATTTTTGGATATTTTGTTTTTTGTTAGTCGGACTGAATAGTTTATCGCATGTAATTAGGTGTTCCAAAACGGCTTTTTGGTATCGAGAAACCGCGTATCGAACAACGGGGCTCACGTACTTTGCTGTACTGGACTGTTGGTGGAGATACTTCAAATGTTATGGCATATCAGGTTTTTTGTTTTTTGATTAATCTTCAAGATTTATTACATCAGTTGTTTGCCTCCATCCTAAATTACTGTTTTTTTAATAATACCTACGTGTACTTTATTTACATATTAATAGGTATTAAAGAAACGTATTGCATATATTTTTCTAGACTTGAAGACAAAATCAAAAAGGTTTTTTACAATAATTGTTTTACTTTCAGATCGACTTCAAATTAGATTCGGATCGTGACTGGCGACCTTTCAGTGGTTACATTACACATTCACCATCAGAAATACATTACAGGCAAGAACTAAGTAATTTGGAAACTAACAAGTATTATTACGTGAGAGTTTCTGCAGTCGATCACTCTCGAAACATTCTGGCAACTTCAGAAGCAACCAGTTTTGCCGTATACTGTCGAGGTATGAAAAAGTTTCTGTTTTTTTCAGAGGACTTATTAATCTTCCAACCGTTGCATTATTTATGACTTCAAAAATTGCTTAATTATAAGTTTTTGACTCTTTGAAATTTAATTAAAGCCAAAGTCTTGTGTGCTTTTAAAGGAATACATTTAAATTGATTAATTCACTGAAAGTTTGCTTCACAAAACAATACAAATAAGTGCACTTTTATTTTACTATTTCTGTTTCACACGCAAAGAAAATTTCTAAAAGTTTCTCAAAAATTTTGGAAATTTAGTATCACTTCATTTTGAATCCTCATTTACTCATGTAATTTTACTTTGCAGTGCCCAGTATTGCACCACAAGACTTACGCCTGCAAAGTATCGCAGAAGGAGTTCGCTTGTTGTGGAATTGGACCGGTGAAGATGACCATGACTGCGAGCCATATTTTCTAATAACAGGATATCAGAACGGTGTACCATTCTCAGAACGAATTATTGGGCGTGATTCACGCCAATTCACGTTCCAAAATGCTATTCCAGGCGAATGGCATGCAGAAATGAGAGCTGGAAATCGAGCAGGAACTGGACCTAGCAGTTCCCCTGTCAATCTACAGAATGCTTTTCACGGTATTGTTTATTTGTTGATAGAATAAAATAAACTCAAAAATAAAAAGCGCAGCTAAAAGTGCTGCTTGCTCAAATTTCTTGCCTTGTATGGTGAAAATGAATACCATGTAAGCAATGCAAGATTTGATTCAAGAATACAACGTGGAGACATTCATGAATATTCCTGGCTGAATCAAACTGTACTCTTTCCTTCTTTTTTGAAAGTATTTTGCAATATACTTTGATTAAAAGTTGTTCACTCACTATTTCCCACTATTTCATTATAATTGATCACAAGAAGTTTCATTTTTCAATATTATTTTCATGTTTATAAATATTATGACAGTTTAGAACTTTGTTCGTTTCGTTTCTGATTGTTGAGTGGCTAATTTTGAATGTTTCTATAAGCTTATTTAGGTAAAATAGTCATGTTTTTACTTCAAACTTTTCCAATAAGTTTTTAAGGTATGATAAAATTTTTATCAAAATTATTTTTCAAACTATA